TTCCTTCCCACGCAAGAACCACATCCTTCCTGCCCCGAGCTCACCAAACTCCCACCACAAGGCTGGGCTTATGCAGGAGCAGATCAAAATTAAATGCAAGCATGACCCGTTTAATCTACAGGAGAGAGCACCTGGTCATGTGCTTGCATGACCAAGGGTAACGCTCCTGCACCCACGCTGCCACCGGCACCTCCTGCAAGGCAAAGCTCTCTGCAGCTCAGCCCCCTTCTTTGGGCAGCTGCCCCCAGCCCCACTGACCCGCATGGCTGCCTCACCTTGCTCCTCCCTGCTGCTGTTCTGAAACAGCAAAATGTGAACATCTGCTTCTGATAAAAAATAAAATTAAAAAAAATCAGAACCACTCCCCCCCACCTTGACAAATGGGCACAAGCTGTGCTCACAAGCCTTCTATCTGCTCAGGATGCCAGAGGCAGAAAAAGAGGGTAAGTCCAGGAAAAACTGGATATGTTGCCCTGAGGCAATGGGCATTTGCATGCACACACCTTGTGACAGGCTGCATCCCAAAGCTGGTGTACTTGGGACAGTGATAGCATGGACAGATGGGAGGAGGGATGGATGGGAAAAATGCCTCACTAGCCCTTCCCATGCACAAGGAACAAAAGTGCAGGGGGATGAGACGACTTGGATCACGGGAAAACCACGGCCAAGTCCCAAATCCCAGCTCACGCGCTTAACCACAGACGATTCTGTGCTTTCTATTCTGTATTAACAAAGAAAACAGTATTTCCCCTGGTTTTGGTCCCCAGGGACATAGCTGGAGTTGCTGTCCGGTCACAAAATATTCCCGGAGTGGGAAGAGCAGATGAAGCGCTAGTGAGTCATGCGCAGACACTGGATTATTGTGCAACCTGCACCGTGCGGGCCAAGGATGGCTCCCCCGTGCTGCTTCTGCCAGGAAGACCAGACCAAAGAGCTCTGGGCCTTTCCATAAAATTTTGGTTTTTTTCCTTGGTTTGTTTTTGAACTTAGTACTTCGTAGCAGAAGTAGCTTTCAAAGCACTGGCTTTGCTCATGGGCAGACACACGCTCGCCCACCACCGCTCACCTCGCCGAGGGCCCAGATGGAAAGTGGGCAAAGCTCAGGGAGCTCGTTGGCTCTTTACCCCTTTCATAATCACATGCAGAATGGTTGAGGTTGGAGGGGACCTCTAGAGATCTAGTCTGACTCCCCAAATAATTTCCACCCTCCCGGTTATTTCCTAGCATTCCTTCTCCGACAGAAATCACTGGAGAACCAGAAGGCCGAGGAGCAGCACCTGTGAGGGAAGAAGCCCCAGAGCAGCCCCCATAGCTCTGTGATGGGTCCCCCCGGGCCTGCAGTGGCATGGGGGGAAGCCACTGAGCAGGTGCCTCTAGCTGCCCTGAGGCTTGAGCTGCAGCAGGGACCTGCAGCTCTGTCTCTCTTGGGAAAGGGCCCCACCTATGGGCAATCGACCAGAGAGGAGCATTTGGAGAGTGCTTTGGGAGAGGAGGGGAGAAAACGCCTAATTTTGGTCTACAAAGACTGACTGAGGCCACCTTCACACACACAGTGTGGTCTTGAAGTGGGTCAACAAGAGGGAGCCGGTGGACCCAACTCTAGAATTGGTGACCTAGAAGAGGTGGGAGCTCAGGTCTTTTTCCCAGCCAGAGGTCCTAGGCAGGAAGGGGGAGCCGAGGAGCCTGCTGTGGACCTGCCTGCCCCATGATGGCCACATGCTTCGGATAAACTCTGGCTCAGCACTTGAGTCCTGATGACATCATGCACTTTCATGGCGCAACACATGCCAGGAGTTCAGCTGAGAACATGGGATCAGCGCCCTGGACTGCCAGGGCTCAGGCTTCCAGCAGAACTTAAGTAGCAAAGGCCTCTCACATGGGGGTGTAAAGAGTGAAATTTTTTACACTGAACCCCAGAGGAACCCCAGGGAAGCAGTGACCAGTGCCCTGACCACTCTTAGCTGAGGTCCTCTGCAGTCAGAGAGATAAATGAACTTGAAGAAGCAGATAGCCCCCAAAAGCTATATTAGATACGTTTCAGGAGATGCATCATGCTGCAGAGGAGCCCCTACCTCTGCATTAACCATGCACAGCCTGAACAGCACAGCTAGGCGCTGTTGTCTATGGAGCAGATGCCCGAGATGAGGATGAACTCCACCCAACACCTGCCAAGGCACTCCTGGGGTTCAAGACTAGGTTACACAAGTCAGCAGAGCTGAAAAGCTCAGAGCTTGGGGATGGAGGAGAGAAACAGACTGGCACAGACCCAAGGTTTGCTGCAACAAGCTGTGCAGGGATGGGGGACACCACACAGACCTGCAGACATAATCATGGGGACCATGGCTTAAAGAAAAAAAAAGAAAAGAAAGAAAGAAAAAAGAAATAGCTTCCATCTCCTTCACCCCGTTATTTTTTCAGGCCACAACCAAGTGCCACAGAAAAAAGAGCTGATTTGGCTCCTGGCGCTCCTGCTCCCCTTCCCTAATCCGATGGCTTCATGACAAACAGCGTGTCCTCCCCTCCCCACCAACGCCATCGTGGAGCACGTGATGGACACGGCCACCCCCGCAGCAGCTCCCGGACAGACGGACACCACGTTGCCCTGCGAGGCTGCCGGATGGGAGGACAAAGGGAGGCCTGTGCTGGCGTCACCGAGCCCGCCGCTTGGCTCATCGATGCCATTCCCGGCCGAGGAACGCGGGGACGGAGCTGGAAGGGGGCAGCAGCGCTTCCCGGACACAGAATGCCTGGCTTTGTGCGGAAAGGGAACGCTACCCTTCGCCCCGCGCTCTGCTCCAGCCCAGCCCTCCGAACGCCCACAGTCTTCCCATTCCGCTGCCTGAGAAATTCCCTGCCAGAGGACATTGCTCAAATGGTTTATTGAAGGGGGCGAAAAAAAAAAAATAAATAAAAAGTGTAATTCCCTACTTCAGGCAAACAAACTCTTTCTTCTCCCCTTGAGGAAGGGGGATAATAGCACAGCCAAAAGAAAAAGAAAGAAAAAACCATCCCCAAACCCTGCTGTAATAATGTTACATAAAAGACCAAAGGGGGTTGGCCAGGAAAACCCCAAGTTCAAACGAATAATTGCTCCAAGAGATTGAAGCCTACAGCTGAGTCACTAAAATGAAGCAACCTCTCCCCGTGCGTAGAAAGCAAACAGACCTTGGGTCACGCAGCAAAAGCGCCTGCGTGTCCCGGGTGGAAAGGGAGAAAGAAAGAAGGGGAAAGCAGCCAAGTGCAATTAATCAGGGCCCCAGAAGAAAGGAGGAAGCCTTTGTAGTTTGGTTACCCATGCTTGCCTTTCCACTTTTAAGAAAGGATCCCAGCCTTAAGCTTTCACCCTTATCCCACAGCATCGACACAAGAGTCTACAACCAAACACTAAATCCTCCTCCCAGCATTTTTCCAATGTTTTTCCAGGAAGTTATACAGGGAGCAGGGACCTTCGGTATAATCCAATTGATTGATAACAAAACTCCCTCCCCAAATCCCCCCTATAGATTGTGTTAAGTGGCTTGTGCTTGGTCTTCAGTGGGTGCAAGCCTGCCTGGCCATCATCCTACCCGCAGCAAGCCAGAAAGCAAACACCTCATCCTTTGGCAAAATGGCAATGCAGTTGTCTAAAAACAGGCACATAACCAAGGATTAAGCCAAGGGTAATCCTGACCTTCAGCCAGTTGCCGTGTGCTTAAGGGAAGCAGCTATCGTAGGAGATGAAAAGTAACAGCCGCCCAGAGACACCGGAGCAGCAGCATCCATAAAAGCTTCCAAATTGATACTATTTACAACCCCAATTTTAATTGCACACGTGAAAAAGGAAAAGGATCATAATCCGAAGTCAGGTGAAGCTGCTGGAACCAGGGATATTTCGTCAAGCTTCCTGAAGTTGCTGAAAGCGGGTAAACAAGGCATAACCCGAGCTCACCAGGCGAGCCAGGACACCGCGCTGGGCGCTTCAGGCAGACCTATGGGGACATCTAGTGGGCACAAAAACGGAGCCGGGACACCAATTTCCTCTGGGAGGAGCGAAACTCCAGAAATCCAGAGATTCCCCTCATTATCTTTAGCCTCTAGTCTGCCCTACAGAAACACTGTAATGCTCACCAGTGTTGGAAGAGATGCAATTTCTATGCTAACCTCAATTTGCAGGAGCAAAGTCCATTTAAAAAGAAAGAAAAGAAAAGCCGAGCAAAATAAACGCTTCAAATTGTGAATTTCTTTTCCTCTGTAGCACATTGGAAGTGAGAGCAGCCCACTGCGACATGCTGCAGGTGGTAAAGGCACTGCTCACAGACGCGTGCCGCAGTCCCCAGCCCTTGCTTTGGCAGAGCTCAACCCCCTCATTTCTGCCCCCATGGTCCCAAGCTTGCTTTCCTCTCTTCTCAGCTCTTGAGCTGTACTGAGCATTACTCCAAGCACTCCGATTTTTGCACGGGCTTTGCATTGCCTGAGATTCCCAATTCTCAGCCATGCAAGACCATTTCTAAACAGCAGATATGTGGTAGGGAACTTGGGCAGAAGTGTGCACTCGTTTTCCTTAATAACAACGCAAGTAGTTCTTTTTAGCATTATGAAAAAATACTAAATTCTAGTATGATCCTTCACCAACAGAGCAAAAAAGAGTCTATAAACAAGTCCAACACTGTTATAATGTTACCAACTCTTCCTCTCCTTCTGGCACATCAGAACATCAGGTTGGCTGCAGTAATAGCCATTGTAAGGAGGTGTAAGGAGCCATTTTGGGAATGTTCTTTGCCCTGTTGACTCCTTCTGCTAAAAACACCATAAATCTCCTAGCGGAAGCTAGAGAAATCATTTGGACACTCTATATTTTACCAGGTCCCACTTCAGCACAAGGATACAGCTCTCAGTTTAAGACTTCATTCGAAGTATAAGGTATCATCAAAAGCAGGGGAAAACAAAACAAAACACTCTACTCTGAAACACTTCCCTCAGTGGTTGCAATGAGGCCAACACCAGACAACTCAATCACGCACCCGAATTTGGTGGAGAGGATGCCTCCCAGTGCAGAACCGAGGATAATTCCTATTCCGAAGCAAAGGCCCAACTTCCCCAATGCACCGGCACGTTCAGAAGGAGTAGTCAGATCTGTAATAACCTTCTGAGCACCTGCAAGGTAAAACATACAGTGAAAACACGCACCACAGAAGCCAAGGAGTGTTAAGTGGGTTTGCGGTTGGGCTTGATGATCTTCAAGGTCTTTGCAACCATAATGATTCTATGATTCTGTGTTTTTAGGTGATGGGAATTATGACAAGTGTTTCTTTCTCTAGCCAAAATACGTGCTGTCTAATGCTCTCACTGCTCAAACCTTGGTAGCCACCAACATGTTCCTCTTACTTCTTGCTGCTGGGGCTGTTGCTTCTGAGCAAGGTGAGCAAGAAGAGCTGAGTTGGGCAATAACGGCAATTTTGGAAGCCCCTCAGGCTCACCAACCTTACCTGGCATCACATGCATGAACACCATGGGCAGCCGGGAGAGGTAGAGGAGAGGGATGCTGGTGGTGATGGATGCCAGCAGGAAGAAGGCACTTGCGGACGCACAGGAGAGTATCAAGGCAGCTCGGGCACCAAACTGGTCAGCAAATCTGGTATAGAAAGTGAGCAAGGTTTTTCAGCAGTGAGACTACATAGGGTATTTTAAGTCCAATGCACAACTACCTGAGCCACACAGATTTATCACAGCAGCTATCACTGCGCAGCTGACGTCCAAACCACTCGTTAGCACGAGCACTTCACTGTTCTTGCTTGAATTGCTTCTGCTGATCTTTGAACAAATAGATGTGTTTTATCTGAGGCAGGTAGAGCAGTTGAAGTGCAAGAAACTCATTAAATATTACAACTTCACTGAGCCTATTGCCCTCAAATTTTACTTAGCATTGGTTCAGACTAAGGAATCAAGCTAGCTAATGTTTCTGCTCAGGTCCAATGGTGATGGAAATTATTCCAATTCCTTTCCAGAGCACGTTCAGAATAACTGCTCTTGGTTTCAATTAAAGAAAATAAAGAGAAAGTTTTATGTTTAGGGTCAACACAGACTTTGCAATAGTGGTTCAAATTTGCTTCCCTTTGATGCAGGAAAAAAGAAACAGCCAAATCAGGCTTTGTTTTTGATTCGGGTTTTGTTCAACTCCCTGGTTTAAATGCATCGGCTTTACAGGAAATTTTAAAATGCTAATTTGGACAAAATCCAAGAGCACCACAGAAACTGCCTTAGCAGCTGGGCCTAAGATTACCATAAGATAGACCCTAGAAAAGCTTTTCACTCCAATTCCTCCTTTCTTCATTTTATTAACATTTTATATTGCAGTTAGCAGATAAATGGTACCTTGCATAGATGACAAGTCTACAAACAAATTCAAGCACAAGTAACGCAAGGGGTTTGTGTTGAGGAAGAGAAACGGGTCAAAGCTTTGCTGTTTACATCAGAGCCATGGAAGTTTATGTTGGCTGTTCGTAACCTAAGGACCTTGATTCACTAGATAGCTTGGGGCTCTTTTAATTTTGTTCTAAAGAGTAATTTCAGTGCGTCATCTTCTCATGGCTGTTAAGTAACGTCAGTGGAGATGAATAAGAAAAACTGACGTAAGTTACTTCCAGATTTCCATTGCTTATTGCTTTCTTTCAAATCCGTGCAGAGAACAAAACGTTTGCAAATCTAGGAAAAGCCTTTTCATCTCTACATTGCAACGGTTGGTATCTATATGGCAATACATAACTTCAGTCCTAAGTGGATTTCTGTACATCATTTCTCCATTCTCATCTAGTATCGCTTAAGGGCATTAGGGAATAACATTCATGGAATAAAAAACAGGATTTCAGATAGTACTGAAATTGGGCCCAGAATGGAAATACTACTCTACAATTCTGTATGACAGAAAAATCAAAGTGGGTGACCTACACCATCTAAATTATTGAAATTAGGAATAAATTTTATTCCAAGATATTCTGAAGAAATTTTTATAGTTACAGTTATCAATTAAAAAACGTGTTCTTTGGTATCACCTAAAGGCTTTGGGAGATCAGGTCCCCAAAGTGCTATGCTCTGCATGCCAGAGGATCCCCTGGAGCCTACAGTCTAAATCTACATTTCTGGAGATGAGCTTGTAGATACAGCACTCCCTAATATTCATACAAAACCTGAAGAAATTCTAGCTTTGTGTTTAACCACATGGACCTTGATGAGGCAAGGTTCAGCTGTAGAAATATCATGATCCTCATTCTTTTTACCAATAGCTCTACTTAATGTTAATAAATGCTCTCTTTCGTAAAGGTCTCACAGTCACATAACATTTCTAAGCTTACACACAGCTATAAAGTGTCTGCGAGATTAAACCATCAGAACTCAAGCTCTAAGGACCTGAGTATATTGTTACACTTAAATATTTGTCACTAAAGTGTAGCTAAGCTAACATAAAGGCTGCTTCTATGCTGCAGTATCTGTAATTACAGTATTTATTTTTCCCTTGTCCATTTGTGAAATCTTCAAACATTTCATCAGGAGCATGAATGACAAATAAAGCATTTTTATTAAAATATAAGAATGCCTGGCTTTTTTCAGCAATGAAAAGGATCATGAGAATCGTTCTCACTCACCTTCCAAAAATGGGACCTCCCACGAGCTGAAGGACACCGAAGGTTGTCTGGAGGTAGCCAAACCCAACCGAGTCCAAACCTAGGCTCTTTGCCAAGTACTAAAAACAAAGGAAAGAAAACAAAAAAAAAAAGTTAGGACTGGGAAATGAAATATGTTATATTTCTGAATAAAGAGCTTAATGTTTGCACAGAGGACTACAGTCTAATCACTCGCTTCCTTCGACTCACAGCACACAGTTTAAACTGACACAGAGGTGTCCCCAAACCAGCCTGCCTTCCTGATGGGTGCCCTGCACCCATGTCCAGAAGCTTTCCCAGCTCTGCTCGGTCCTGCTGGGCAAAGTGCAGGAATCCAGTAGACAAAGATGCGCTTTCCAAAGCCACTTGCCTCCCTTAGCTTCGATTACTCAATTTAAGCAGCCTATGACTGGCCCTTGGACAATGCCAAGAGTAAGTCTGCTCTGGGTGGTCTCACCTACTGCTTGCTTTGGGTGCTTGTGTAAGGGGAAAAAAAGGGGAAATGCACAAAATACGGGGCACCTACAGAGGTAGCCTCCATATCTGCATTTGCTGCTACTGCCTCCCAACAACCTGCGTTTGGACCATTGGCTTTGGTAGGGAGGAAGATGCAAAAGATATTGATGCTTTGCTTTGGCTGCCCATCCTCCACCTTGCTCTCTGCTCAGCCCTGCCACATCGAGCACCTCCCAGGTGCTCAAGGTGCACTCACACCTCGCCTCGGGTTCAGCTGCAGGCTCCTGCATGACGTCTGCAGAGCTCACCTACCAGAGCTTCCCATTAGTCAGGGGAGCAGAGAGGCACAAACTACACCCATGCAGAGCCTCCCAGGGGCCTGCAGCCCCAAAAGGACTCTAGGTACACCTGCAACGCCAGTGATAACCCATTTTTTTTTACTGCTTGCACACACTTGCTCTGAAGAGAGTCACTCAGGAAACACCACAGCTGTAGCAAAGCCAGGCAAACCATACTCACCGGCATGACTCCAAACTGCATGAACAAGAAGATGAGGTCTAGCGTTGCAACGACGTAGGTGACAAGGATCACTCGCCGCTTGGCGCCCTCCTCCAGCCGCTCCTCATTCTCGCTCTTGGCCCACGCTGCTCCCTGCTGAGCCCCCGGGCTGGCGGGCTCTCCCGCAGTGCTCATGGTGCGGCTCGCCACCGGCCACCCAGGCCAGGAGACCGTGTGGGTCTGTAGCGGGGCCGGCAACGCCTCGCGCCGGGGAAGTGCCGAGCGGTGTTTACTGTTCAAAGCTTAGCAGTGGAAAACGTGCTGAGTCAGCATGCCAGGGATTATTGTTTCTTTCCCCCTTGATTACTTGTCAGACAGGATCACAGGCGACCGCGCACTGAACCAGGGACCTGGTTCCTCAGCCTTGTCCCAGGCGAGCTGCTAGCTCCAACGACCATCGCAGTAAAGACCAGCCTGAGGATCCCCGTAGGGCCGACATTGAACTTTGCTCCAAGCAAGATCACGTGAACACAGCTCCTTAACTCCTTCACTTCTTTGTTACTGGTGGCTCACAGGAGACAAATATTCTGATTCTTCACGAAAAGCACTTTTAGTTTTGAAGGTGTGAAATAAGACTTAACTGTCTCCAAGTCCTCACACTACCTGTAATAGATTTATGCACATACTAAACCAACCCTAGGCCTTAGATGCAGTTACATGTACTCTAGCCAGGATCTTTAGTTGATCCTTCCCCACCCACTCCTTGCCAGATGCTGCAAATTTATAGAGAGCCTAAGCTAGCAAATGCTTACATGTGTCTCCACTCAGATCACAGACTGCTAGCCAAAGCCAAAACACTGGTACAATCTCACAAACTAGGCTGGATACAAACTGGGGAACTAAAACAAACAAAACTCATTTGTTTTCTTGGGTTTTGTTTGCTTGGGGCTCTGTTTGTTTACTTGTTGAAGTCTGGACATTTGGTTGAGCTTTTTTTTTTTTTTTTTTTTTTTTTTTTAAAAGAGGAAACAAAACCAGATTTCAGCTCACAGACTTCACAGGTCCACAGGACTGCTGGTGGGGAGGGACCTCTGGAGATATCTCAGGCAACCTCCTTCTTGAGCAAGATTATCAGCAACACATCAGCTTGGCAATGATATTTTTTCTAGACAAGCTCTGAACATCTCCCAGGAAGGAGACTGGCCAGCTAAGTACCTGGGCATGAAGTCTCTTGTGATATGGGCTATCGCCAAGAAGAACCTCTGCTTCCCTCATGTACGTGTGCTCTTGACCATCTTCACTGCCCTACACAGGGTCCCCCCAGGTTTGTCCATAGCCCTCTTGAGCTGGGGGGCCCAACACTGAGGCAGCATCACCAGCACTGAAGCAGAGGAGAAGAACTTCCCAGGACCAGCTGGCCACGCTCCTCCTCAAGTGGCCCAGTACACAGTTTGCCTTATCACCCAAGTTTTAATCAAACACAGGGAGGGTTGCTATGAGATCTCTGGGGTAAGGAGCATCGTTTTATGGCATGTGTGCAACACCCATTACTGCAGAGCCTCCTGATTCGACGAGGCCTATCAGGCTCTGCCTCCCAGCAAGTGAGGAGAAGGTTGAAGGTTCACCCTTTCACCAGGTGTTGGTATCATATCACTAGTAGCTGCAATCTTTCATGAACTTATTAAGAGCATGAGTAGCTAAAAGGAACTTTACGAAGCAAATGACTTGCACTACAGCCAGCTACTGATCTCACTCACCACAGCTTAGAGGTTACTCGAGGAAGGTGCCTTGAGAATATCCTGGTTTAACAAAGGGTCAGTGCTCACCATGTAGATCACCTAAGTGTAGAACAATTAATCTTATTAATTTTTTTGCATTTTGGATTTTCTGCAATTCTCCACAAAAACTTCTCAGTTTGCACTGTGTACAAATCATTAACATCAAACAAAGGTAAAGTTAATGACAGAACTGTCTACAGCAATCCTTTCCTGTGCTTCCAGCAAGGCTCACCTCCTTTTTATTGGCATTGGCAGAGGACTTGGAATAAAATGATAGTTCTAATTTCCAGGTTTTTTAGGGCAAAGATAAAATACTGAGAAGTGGAGGCCTAAAACTGGTGCCAAAGCCAGCTGCATTGTGGTAGGGACACAAACCACCAGGAAAAGGCTACTGCACACCACTGTTGTGGCCAATGACACATCCAGCTAGATCCCACTTGACCTGGAGCTGTGGAGTGAAATGTATCATAGTGATGGTCAGCATGGGCTTGCTTTGCATTTTACCTAAAGGCACCTTCCTCATCAATTAAAAATACATCCCTGGTAGCACTCAGTCACTGATGAGCCATACTTTAAAAAGTTAATGTAAAAAATGGGAGGAATCAATCAGTCATGGCACACAGGAAATGCATTCTCTTGAGTAGGATAAATAAGTTTTAAAAGACTGATAATCTAGAGGACCATGGCAAAAGCAAGTGAGGAGATAAATGTCCCGCAATTAAACTGCCTATCAGACAATTAGCTTACACATTAAGTCCTGACACTTACTCTGAACATTTTGGGAGTATTTACAGTTGCCTTCCCTGGTATATATTTACTAAGGTCTGCTTATCTGGTGATTTCTGGAAAAAAACAGAGTGGGAAACCTGAGAATATTAAAAAGTGTAAAGACTTACTAGGCTCTCCTTACTCAACACTTAAAGCAAACTCCCTCCCCTCCCCCTGTCCCAACATCCAGTGAAATGGCCTCATTTGTAGTCTGGTGAAAGATTTATATGGTTAAGCAAATAAGAGCATATACAGGCTGCTATTGCCAAAATTATGTCCCATGTTTGTTGACTGATTTATTCTTTTGTCTAATTGTGTTTAGAGAGAAAAAAAAAAGGCTGCTTGCTAATGAATGGAAAAAGAATCCACATGGCCTGAAAAAGAAGAGAGAGGCATGTTGAGTTTACAAAATAACATAGTCTTCAGGGATTTTCATAAAAACTACAGAGACACTCCAAATCGGCAATGAAATCAGATTCCCAGTGGCTGCAGAACTCTTTTGGCTCTTTCTATGTGCGTATTAAATTGCAAAAAGCAATTATTTATAATTTGTTTTTATAAAAATGCCGGTATGCTCATTCTGCTTGGCAAATTATTTTGTGAAATGGAAAGACTATTGTTCATTCTTTTGGTAATTTTTTTTTTGTTACTTAGCATATTAAACTGCAAATCACATTTTATCTGAAAAATGGCTGGTTGTTATTAACTTTTTAATGGTAAAGCTCAAGATCTCCATCTAATATTGAGGCCCCATTTGGTGCCCCACAAACACAATAAAAGCTGGATATTCAGACAAGGGAAATGAAGCAGATCCTCCTCATTTTTTAAGAAGGATACAAACAGGCAGGACTTGATGACTTGCCTCAAATCAGGGAGGAAGCCAGAGGAAGAGCCTGGCATCAGCCTGGGTCATCTAATGGACTCCAGTGCAGCTGCTTAACCACAGGACAGTTTCTCCTTTCTAATATTTGGGATAAATTAAACCAGAAGAGAACATTTCTGAATGCTAGAACTTGACATCAAAATATGCAAAACAGGGTAGAGACTGTGGGTTTGGGAAAAATACCATGGCCTGAATTCAGTAGAGTTGCACCAAGAATAACATGAAATAGCTCATTTCTTCCTACCCAGTCTCCCTGGCTTCAGCATGACCTCCCTGGGGCACACACTGTTGTGCCTTCCCAGGGCTTCACTTCAGTCCGGCCACAGGAATTGCTCTCCTGCAAGAAGGAAAACCTTGGGAAGGGTTGAGAGGGATGAGCTTCAGCACAACGGCTGCGCTGGCACATTCGAGGATGCCTCAACCGGACATCCACATGCAGGCTACAGCCTCACAAATCTCTGTGAGGAAAACCACTTTGGAAAGGGATTTGGAAATCTCTTCCAGTAGAGGCACTGGGCAGAGCTGTGATGCCCAAGCTGCAGAGGTTTGTTGTCAGGCCAGGGAGGAAGCCCTGCTCCAGGGCACACCCAGAGCACCAAAAACCTGAGGTTCACAAGCCCCAGAATACGCTGGATGTGACAGAAACTGATGCGCACACACACAAATACAGCCTCGTGCTATCCTCCAGCGTGCAATATTTCATTCGAGTGGTGCGACACAGCCACCTCCTGGAATCGCAGCAACGCCTGGAATGCAAAAGCTGTTTATCATTTAAATAGCGCTGAAGCCACTATAATTTATATGAGAATTGTGAGCAATCTGGGCTGTACAAAGTACATTTATAACATTGTTATTACTATTATTTTTACACAGGGCAGGTTCCTGGCAGGTTGGGAAGCAGCTGGGGAAAGCTGGACATCTTTAGGCATATTTGGGATTCGAGCACCTTACAAAGCCCTGTCCGACATCTGTATTTTTCTCTCTCTATGCAAATACCACTTTATTTCAGCTGAAGTCTTGCAGGGGATCAGTATACAGTCGGAGCAAATATTCGAGTTGGCAGTGCTGTCAGAGAAGCTTTTAAAGCTCCTCAGACCAGACCTTAGGCATATTTGCTCTGCCAACCGGACTTACATCATCAGCAACGCAGGCTGTAGCTATATGAGACAAAAAATGCAATTAAACTTATTTTGCCAGGGCTAGAGCTACTCCGGGGTGCTTCAGGAGCAAGACTGCAGCGTGGAACCCACTGCAGACTGTCCAGGGAAGTAGCAGAAACTTCCCAGGGGGTTGAGACACTTTTTAATGTAAACTCAGTAAAGATCCAGCACAGCCTAGGCCAGTATTTCTACCTTCGAGCAGCTGTCACAATTTACCTTATTTTTCATGACATTTTAGCTAAGTTAAGCAGACATTTTCTTCTATAATACAGAAGGGCTCTAAGATAAGAAGTGGAAAAGTTCAGAAGCCACCTACCAGCATAGTCCATTACCTGAAATATTTCCTGAGGAAGCCCCACTTCACACACCTCTCCAACCTTGCTGACCAGGGTCTCTGCGGCATCATTCACTTCTGCTCTCCAGGTCTGGCCTCCAACAACAGCAAAGAGAAAAACCTTGTTTAGCAGCAACATTGCACATAGAAGAAAAGCCTAGATCAAAATTGAATGCTGGCAGCTAAGGGAACCACGCTCTCCCCCTAGAAAAGGCAAGCACATTCGATCTAGAAACCAGTCAAACCCCATAAACGTAGCACCTCCAGATATA